CAGCCTTTGCACAATAGAATTCAGAATTTTTGCAGAATTTCATCAATGGGCTTGGTCCTATTATGAATCATACAAGCTACCTGTCACAGCTAGCAAATTGAACATTTCAATGGAACACCCTGCACTATTGCCAGAATCTATCTACTCCACATCAATCATATTAGTAGACAGTCCACATAACCTGTTGTTGAAAACCTCAAGCTCCTACCAAAAATCAGCTGGCTCTCTAGATGCCCCAGAGCTTAATTGTAGTGCTAAAAATTGGAGTACTTCTTATAGCGTTTGGCTCTAGCACATTGTCAGTTGAGCTAGGAAACCTGATTGATAGCTCAGATTATCATCAGTATAAAATACAAGAACAATCAGCAGAGTAAAGACTTGCTGGGCTACACAACATTCAATTAGGACAGTAGCTGATATAAGCAGCAATTTATCACGTACAGTAGAAGTCTGAATCACATATGGTGAAAGTCCTTTGTATAACTTTACCCAAGGTTTAGCCAACCTAGTTTTGTGAAATTAATGAGATTTGGATCTAGGTTTAGTGGAAATATCATAGTCTTGGGTAGATTTCTCTGGAGGAGAAAGCAAAGCAAAATGCATCATGACTGCTGGTGGATCATGTATTTTCCCCCAGGGCAGGCTCATACCTGAATATTTGGGGTATTTCTAGAGCAGAGTTTAATCTACAGGTATTTTGCCTGCTGGAATTTGTGCATTTTAGAATGAGATTGGAATTTAAGGCTACATCTTGAGGAGATTGAAGTATTTAAGAAAATATTTAAGAAAGTTAAAGATGGTAGAGGACAGGAAGGCCTGGAAGAACGTTACCCATAGGGGTTGCAATGGGTTGGACACAACTTCGCAACTAACAACAACAAAAAATGTAATTTCTATCTCTGTATATAGGTACTGTTTTCTCTGTGAATGGGTGTACAAATTATTACACATATGCACAGTGATCAGAGTTCAGTCTTCAGTTTATCAATTTGATATTTTGGCTGCAAAAATGTGATCCTTTTAATTCTGTTTGTGAAAAACAAGTGTTGCAGATCTTTATCACCCTTCTTCCCCGCCCCCCGCCCCCAAATTACAACAGTCAGTTTGTTGTCACTATTAATTCATTTTCTATCTTTCATCCAGCCAAAGTTTTCTGCCTTTATTACTGACTTTGGCTTTCACTGAGTCTTAACCCTGAACCATTCTATTAACTTATCATTAGAGAAGGCAGCAGTTCTAATTTCCTCTATTATTATTATTTGGATTACTATGATTAACAGATTGACTGCCCATAATTCTAATATACAGAACTTGGAAGTACCAGCATGTGCAAACAGAATATAGTCTCTCATAAGACAAATTATTCCTATGGCTAGGGTCAAAGGCTATAGCTATAGCTTATTTCTGCAGTATGCATCAGCGAATGAGCAAAATGGTAGAAAGTTGTCCATTCCCTGTTGTGAAGCCTTTTGAACTTTAATATTTCTGCATAAATATGACCTAAAACATGATCTGTTCTCCACATAAATCCTAAAATTTATCACCATCCCATTAATTAAAAAACCTGACTCTAATGTCCTCACCAAATGAACGATAATCCCTGAGACTCACATGCACAAGTATGTAGCTTTGGATCATTTTCCTTGATAAATAAATGAACCAATATAATGTTTTGGATACATTGGGTTTATTGGGTTCTGTTTTTCCAGCTTTAGAACTTGTGCAGTAAAACGATGAGATTTTAGGTCATATTTGTGCAGGAATATTAAGCAGCATTGTATGATATATAATTGTGGGTCACATTTTTAATGAGCTGCCAGTTGACCCTCAAGGCAAATGGTTACAATAAATAAAGCCTATGGCTTCATCACCTTAACTAAATCATTTTTTATCTCAACGTTGTTAGTGTATATTTATTTGGGGGGATTTTCTTAAAGAAAATGATAAATGACATCAGTTACATCTTGATTTTTGACCTAAAATATTAGTTTCTTTTAGCATTTGGCGGATGTTATACAATTAAGGAGATTAGGATTTGGGCTGCAGAAGAAAATAATATATTGAAAAGTAAATGGATTTATGATTGATAACTTGATCAGTTGGGTCAATGTTATTTTACATAACTTCGCAATTTACATGAAAGAATATTACACAAAACTGAAAATGCAAAGGCTAAACTTTGTCTAGTAAACTAGTGGTGTTGTAACGACCTGTTTATAATATGTCTGGAACAAAATGTCACAATATGCTAAATTGTATTTTATTTGTCTTCATAAAAATGAATTATCTAACAAGATAAGATGAACCAAGGTTATTTCACAAAGGCAGCAACATCTCAGATGAGCCCCAACGGAGATGCACCCTAATTCCACCCTAATTCCATAATTCCTAGGAGAACATTAAGACTCAAATGGAGGGCAAACATTATAGATTTAGAAATTTTGATTGGATTGATTTGATTGATTTAAGAGGTGTTCTTGTAGATACCCAGCTGGGTACTATATGGCATCAGACCCAGAACTCTGGCTTTAAATAACTTAATTGCTGCTGAGATGTAGTTGTGGCCATGTTGACTTGCATATTTGATAATTGCAAGGATACTCTTTGCGCTCTTACATTAAGTTCACTCATTTGATCAGTCCGGTAATTGGAAGACAGAAAATAAACACATAGATATTTGAAAGTTTAAGTTGCTTAATAAGTTGTCTATTGATCTTTCAGATTACTGCAAACTTAAAGCACTTTCTTGAAAGTACTAAAACATTGTTATAGAATAATTATTTTCAAGGAGTTCCCTGGAGCAATAGAATGACACATGAGTTACAGATATAATTATTTTCCAGGAGTTCCCTGGAGCAATAGAATGATATGGTACATACCCATATGAGTTACAGACATAGTAGACACATCATCAGCATATAGGACAGTGGCGAACCTTTTGAACACTGAGTGCCCAAACTGTTTGTGTGCATATGCCCAAACTGAAAGGTGTGTGTATGCACACACGGGAACATGTGCACGTGCAAACATGCGCCCAAACATGCACAGATGTGTGCATGCACATGGGCATGCACACATGCACAGCAGAGACCCGAAGACCAGCAGGCTGGCGGGAGGTGGGTCATCCCAACACCGGCAGCGCAGCAAGAGGTAAGAACTTTTTCTTTTGTGAGCTTCTGTTTTGTGATTTGCAGGGAAACAGAAGCTCACAAAAGAAACACCATGGAGATCTGACCTGGGGCAACGGCGCGCATGCCACAGAGGGGGCTCTGCATGCCACCTCTGGCATGTGTGACATAGGTTCGCCATCACAGATATAGGAGAAGAGGGATAGCCGAAATAAAGCAGAATATTTGGGACTATGACTTCCAGTCTGATAAAACTAATCAGTGCTATCTCCCGGCCTTTGGGGATTATTCCTAGTGGGGTTTTTTATTTAAAATTTCACATGCCCCACACAGTATATTTTTCAACCTGGCTGGCGTTGATATCTTACCGTTCAGTTGACAACAGCATACATTATCCTCCTTTATGAAAATCTCATCTGAATAATAAAATGCATTATAGGCAGCCCTCAATTTACAACTACAACTGGGACTAGAACTTCCATTGCTAAGTGAAGTGGTTGCTAAATGAGTCTTACCTCCTTTTATGACTTTTTTTATCACAATCACTACAGTTATTAAAGTGAATTGTGTCATTTAGTGAATCCAACTTCTGTTCTTGATTTTGCTTGTGAGAAACTGGCTGGGAAAATTGCAAATGGCAATCCTGTGACCCAGGGATACTATAACTGATGTAAATACATGTCAGTTGCCAAGCTCTTGAATTTTGAACATATGACTGAAGAGATGCTGCAGATGTCGTATTTGCAAGAACTAGTCATAAGCAACTTTTTTTTAGCATCAGCGTAACTTTGAATGAGCACTAAATGAATGGTTATAAATTGAGAACTACCTCTGGTTATACATTGTATATACTTTATACACAATGGTGAACAGATTTTATATTACTTACTGTTAGAAAACCTGGTTCCTTCTCTGACTATGGGATGACCAGTCTTCTTTGAAGTTCTCTCCAAGAACATTGCAACATTATAGTAATACTGTAGCTGTGACTTATGGAAGCTGTTTGATGCCCTCTTCCTATTAGTGATTGCTTCAGCCTGATCTTACACTTTTCTTTTTTAAAATAAATGTGTATTGTATCTGCTTTATTTGATGTATCATTAATTACTGCTCTTGGAATGTAAATAGACTTCAAACAAAGAAACAGTATGTAAACCATTTTTACTTACTTAAATCAGTAAACATTTTCCTTGTTAAAAGAAATATTTCGGATACATCTTTTTCTCTTTCCTTTCCTTTCCTTTTTTTCTTTTCAAACCATTCTGGTTATTTCTTTAATATAGTACTTTAAAAGTAGATATTTACTACTAATTCCTAGTATTAACTTTTATTTTGAAAATTGGTAGCTTCAGATTTTATACCAAGAATTATAACCCTTTAAAGAGATTTCAAAGCACTAGCTGGAATAATATTTTTGGAAAATTAGTTATTTATATGAATGTTTGCTCCTTTCACCAAGCTCATAAAGGGTGACAACAATTCTTATCTATTCCATTCTATATCATATGCATATTGTGGCAGTTTTTCTTCTCTAAGTGACAAGGCAGCCATTTTAATAAAATATAGTGAACTTTGTATAATTCCTTTTTTCACTTGACAAAAGAAGAACTCTTTCTCGATCCTTTTCAAGGAAGTGGAATTCTACAATAGCATAATTTGACTACTTTTGGAGAACAAAAATGATTCTTGCTCATTTTTCTTTCTTTCAAAATGATCTTTCTTTTTTTTAAAAAAAATTATATGGCAAAATTATATGGCAATCTTTCTTTCTTTCTCAGGTACATTGTAAATATGTTTCTTGATATTTCATTTTTCATAATTTTATTCTCAGCAATTATCTTCTTGTCTTCTCCTTTTCTCTGCTAAATGCAGGGGATTATTATTACAGGAGAACAACAGGTTTTCAGAAGCACTGCATTATTATAAATTGGCTATAGGAAGCAGACCTACTTTAGCCTGTAAGTAAAGTTGCATGCTTGTTATATTTAAAATACATTGTTCCTTCTCATTTGTGTTGTGTTATAAATAAAACTATTAAAAAGAAAATCTGTAAGTTTTAATTCTGTTAAATGTGAGCAGATGTTTCTGCATGGTTCCAATATATTTGATAACACTTGGGCCATCATTACTGTAATGTAAAGATGCTGTACTATAGTAAAATAGTTGATCTTGAATGTTATCCATACTATTTATTGTTAGGCAAATATGTGTTGCCAGAGTAACATGTTTAATTTTGATTTGAGATGAAAGAAGCTGAAATATGCTCAAATTTCTGTTATTTCTGCTGTTTCTGCTATTTTTTTTTTTTTTTGGTACTTAAAAGGTCCTTAAAAGGACCGTGGGATTGTGTGTGAAGCCAGGAGATCCTCGCGGATATCTGGCTACCAGTCCGCCTGTTACTCATTTAGCACCACCCAGGAAGCATGTGTGGCTTAAGGATTGCCACAGACGCGAGTAACTTTGCCTCCTATCCAGGAGATTTTAGGGACTTCCTCTGTGTAACAACGACAGCTACTGACTGGATCTCCAAACTCAACATTAAACTCTGAAATGTTATTTCTGTCTCCCTCTTAGGTTTTCTTACTGCTTTTTAAAAATTGTTTTAATTGTTTTAACCTGTAAAATGAAGTGTTTTAATATTGTGTGTGACCAGCCATACGCTAAATAAATAAATATGCTCAAATTTATGGCAGTAAGGGAAGTGATCTGTTTGATAGAGAGATCACATGTTTAAGAGGCAATTCAGGGTTGCTGGGCTGCTTCAACAAGTTTGGTAAAAGACTTCTGTAATTTATTTCATCTGATAACCAATCTTTTAGTGACAAAATCAGTAACTAAATCAGGATATTAGATTATAGGTGTAGAGAAATAGAACATTCATGCTACATATCATGTCAATCGCTTGATATGCTTGCATGTGCAATCTTCACATCTTCTAATGTGGAATCTTCTAATGTGAAAGTCCCGTGAGTGAATGAGGAGTCTCTCAAAATTCTCTTTGAAAAATTAAAGCCCGTGACTTCAATATAGTACTTAACCAACTTTAATTGGTACTTGTTCAAGTTTAAATGTAAATCGATGAAAGAGTCTAATATTTCCTTCTCTAGAAAGAGAAAGCTTGAAGATGTTACATTCAGGCAATAAAGCCAATTTAAGTTACTCTGCCATCTTCCCAGATCCAAAAGGCTTTAATTTCCATAAGATTACCTTGTTTACTTGGACAGCAGTTTTTGTTTCTACTGAATCTACTGACTCTCAAATGTACTGAATTGGGGTATTTTACCCCTTTTTATGATTATGACAATTATGGCAAATTATTAAAGACATCAATACCTTATAAAGGAAGTCTTGTATTGCTGTAGAATTAGTATGGATAATATATGACTTTGATGAAGGGTAATTCAATCATAACAAGGTTAAAAAAAATGAAAGGCCAATCTAGATTTGAAGAAACTGTCAACCTGTAGCTATTTCATTTTTCTGGTTTTAAATAACTTCGAATATAATAGGAATATGTATGAATGTGCATCAGCTACATTTCCCTTTCCTTTTTTCAGCTGCTTATTTAAATACTGGTATCATCTTAATGAATCAAGGCAAAGCTGAGGAAGCCAAGAAGACATTTTTGAAGTGTTCAGAGATTCCTGATGAAAACTTAAAAGATCCTCATGCTCATAAGAGTTCTGTTACCAGCTGCCTTTATAACCTGGGGAAACTTTACCATGAACAAGGACAGTATGAGGTAAAATTTTACAGCAACATAGGAGCCATCTATAATCTTAATATAATTGTGGTTTTGTTTTTTGTTTTTTAAAAAAGCCTCCACTTCTATACTAGAATTAACTCTTGGCTGTCTGGGAGTTGAGTGGCATATAAATTGGATAAATTATTATGGTTCCTCATACAGTCAGCCAGATATTTAGACTGAATTTTAGTTTGACTGAATTAAAAATCCACTTATCAATTCCTTCCCAAGGACCTGCAATAGGCAGATGTTATTGTTTGATAGTGTTAAAGGTATCATCTCAGGATGTAAGCGGCTCCAATTAAAGCTGTCTTTTGCAATTGATTCATAGTGATTTTGTCAATGCCAATACTGTTCAAGTAGTGCTTCAGATATTTTGGGATTGTAACCAAGGTACCTAGAATTATTGGTAGTACTAAAGATTGCATCATAGTGTCAAATACAGTATCTACATCTTATATTTTAGACCATAAAGGAAGCATGAGTTCTGACAAGCTTTTCCCAATACATTTACAATCTAACAATTTATGACTTTTTCTAGGTTATTACTCAATATGATGACTGATAGAATGGAAGACTAGTGAGATGGTAGCAGCTATACTTTATCAACTAGTTTACTGGAAAAACAGTATATGGTGCAATAGTAATTCATTCATTTAGCAAATGATCCTTTTGCAAATGATATACTGTATGAACATGAAAATAATAGTATTTCATGATACGGTTTAATGAACTTTTTTTCCCCTTGTGAAACAAAAAAAAAAAGTTCCTCTGTATTTAGGGTATAATACCAACATCACGAAGCCACCAGAGTCATCTATGTGAGATGGGCAGTTGTATAAATCAAATCGCTCAGTCCATCATTCTTACAGTAGAAACATACAATCAGAATAAGTGTAAATTTATATACTTGTGGGATACGGACAAAGTGTACAATTTGACAGCTTCAAGTGATGTATAGCTTCATTTTAAGAATAGGTAATGATCAAAAACCACAATAGTTTGACATGACATACAGTATATGTGTTTTCTTTTAAACCTAGAAGGCTTTTAAACCTTAAACCTAGAATATGACCAGTATTACTTTATGCAAAGCAGTAACAGTATTATTATTGGCAGGTGGAAATGTATCATTGTGATTATTACAGTTTAATAGCATCAGATGTGTTTTAGAAAATTCTAAGTTATTTTCTTTTCCCATCCTTAAATGGGCAAGTCTGAATATTGAAAATTGCTCTGTTTTACATTGAAAAGATTCATCTCAACTGTATAATTTTTATATAGATTGAAATTAATCCATGTTAATCTCCTGCAACAAAAACTGCAGAGTTTGGTACCACCTTAGAGACTAATACAGTTTTTATGCATATGCTTATACAGAAATCAATTTGTCATGAGATTCATCATTATACATTTTATTAAATGCCTATTTCCTGTTACAATTAACAAAGGCAGCTTCAATTTTACATTATTTTATATTATGCTTACGCTTCTGAATTTGATGTTGTTGTAATGATATGTTTCTCAACACTTTGTCATAGGATGCCCTTATAGTTTACAAAGAGGCGATACAGAAAATGCCAAGACAGTTTGCACCACAGAGTTTATATAATATGATGGGTGAGTCTAAGCAAACATCTAAAAATATTTGTATTAATTTTCTTTCAGTGCACATATTTTTGTATTTCTGCCAATATTGGGCAGTAACCAAAGTATTTCATCTATGATATGTTTTTGGCTCTGATCAAATCTTCAAGCTTTACATTTGTAGCTTACCCCATATCACCATAGACAGCATTCAAATGTATAAATGAGAACAATTAATGAATAAAAAAATCTGTGTAGCTTTGTATTCATAAAGTGCTGTGAACAAGGCAAAACAAATTTAAAATAATACATGATTATCGAAATATAATAATCCAGATTCTAAAAACAGATAAGGTTTGTCACCAAGAAATTGTTTCTTAGTCACAATATGGAACTAGGAATTGCTTTTAAGAACTAATTTATAGCTGATTAAAGACTTACTAGTTCACATAGGCTAAAAGATGTCTTCTACGACTTGGTGCTATAACTGCAATAATTCCAAACTCACACAGACAAAGAGAATCACAGTAACCCAGGCTTAAATGTGGCATCTTCTCTCTTGCTCTGTCTCTCTGTCTCTCTCTCCCCCTCACTCCCAGTTCACTTTATCCAAATAACTGTACAAATAATCTAGCATGTTGAAAATCTTCATTTAAATTTTAAATGGATTAATGGGTTTTTTAAAACATTGCTTTCTCCTTGAATTATCGTAATTGCTATAAGAATCACAAGAATCATAAGAAGATTTTGTGACATATAAGCATATAAACATATTTTATTGGACAGCCACTTAGGCACCAAGCCAAACTTCCTGTTTAATGCAAAAATAAATTTTTATTCCTTTTTTTGCTAGCTATAAACTTTTTGCTCATCAGTAAGTTTTATGTACCGATTGATTATGTCCACATACTTTGGCTGTCTCACACCTTGTTCCCCACAAAATGGTTAGGATTATCAATCAGTAGCTGACAGTTACTCCAGTAGAAAATATATGTACCCACGCTGGAATTCCAACAAGGATATCACATTAGTCAATTATGCCTGTGGTGGGCAAAGCCTCTGGGATAGGTTTTTACACTAGCAGGTGTAAGGACAAAAAAAGAACAAGATCCCAAAAATCCTATTAAAGTTTCCTGGATTCTTTAGTTTATCCTTAAATATATCCAACAAAGGAAAGACCATGCCTCTGAGCAACTGGTTTCGCCTTCATACTGCTCTTATTGTTAAGGGTTTTTTTTTAACATTTAAATTGAATTCACTTACCTGCATCTTAAAGGCATTATTTCTTGTCCAATACCTAGTGAAGTTGTTCCATGAATTTAAATTAAAAATGGTTGTCCTTATGCCTTTTTTTTCAAAGATGTAAGCTTTAATGGGTATAGATCTAGAGATCCATATCAGTTCCCATCAATTGAATGTTAAGACCCATCATCATAATTTTCTTCACTATCATCTGATGAGCAACTTCCCTAAAACCCATGCGTAATAGTAACCTTCTGAGTTTTGTAAATTTAGTGATTAAAAAAGTTGTGTACCATGGTTACACCAAATAAAAATTTTGTTACAAAGAATCACATCTCGAAACCTATATTGTTCTGATGTATGTAAAGTATGATCTGATGTAAAGTATGGTAAAGTGGGCATCACATTATAACCTATATGTACTTGCTAAAATAATTTTCTGGATTAAATTTAATTATTAATCTTAACAATTTATAAGTTGGGCAACATTGAATAAAATTTATTTCAGGGCATTCTTGGTTACTTTTAAAATATAGAATTCTCTTTTGTAAAAGTTCAAATTTCCAACTCTTCTTCTCAACCACAACTGCTCAAAAATAATTTGATATGCTGTCATTCTTTTTCATTAATATATCCAATAATTGAAATAATTTCTCACTAAAAGAGGTTGAAACTATTGAACAGATGAATAAAAACCCTGTGGTACAAAGGAGAAAAATAAATTCTGACTACTAGTCATCTTGCTTCTGTTTTTTTAGAGACCTGCAAACTTCTTTCATAAAGAAAATGCCAAAATTAGTTATCAGCATAATATTCATCTAAATTATATTGTTAATAAAAATTAAACTTTGTGAGTTTTCCTCGAGTCAAAGCATGATATAACTGGATAGACTGAAAGACCATAAAGAATTGTATAAACTGACTGGTTTTTTTGTTTGTATGAGTTTTTTTTTTAGTGCAGCAATTGCTGATTAGGAAGTTACCATCTATTTTTTTTCCTTGATTCATGATGATTTACCCAAGACTTGGTTTTCCTGGAAAACTCTATTCAAGGAAGCTTATACAAGAAATGTTCTTCACACAGAGATCATCTGGTTTAGACTTGGTTTTTGTCTTATGAGAAAACTAATTAAGCACAAAGTAATAGAATAATGGCAGTATATCTGCATTAAGTACAATAAATAAAATAAATAAATCTTTTAATGTAGGTTTTATCCATTACTAATTGGAGACATTTCAGCTATTAATCATATTTGGAAACAGTGGGAATTCTTTCATATTGATCCTTCTAGATATTGTAGGCATTTTTATAGGATGAAGTGTGAAATTTTAAACATGTGAATGTTCATCTAATTTAACACAGCTGTTTTGTGGTAGTTTTGCTTCTGACAGCTAGAGCAAGCCAGACTGATTCAGTCTCCCAGAAATTATAAGACTCTCTTGACTCATGTTATCACTAATGCAATTTCCATCCATATTAAGCTTTTTGGAAAAGTATTCTGAACATTGGACTTCATTATATTCCTGTTGTTATCCATTCTTATGTTTGAATTTTCTTTAAACATAAAATTAAAGAAGTCAGTCATAAAATTTTAGTCTTAAAAATTCTGGAAGTTGACTCAAGATTTTTAAGAGATATTCATGTGAGATATTGATATATTAATAGTAATATCATATATATATATATATATATATATATATATATATATATATATATATATATTCATTCTGTTGGTAACATTCTACTACAGAATAATAGAATAATAATATGCTACTATGTAATATTACATATATAATATATAATATAAATTTATAAATATAAATTAATTTGTATTAATTTTATTTTTTAAACACACACACATACATGTATTTATATATTAATATATAAAATATATCAATTACTTTTATCAGTTTGTATGTTCTATTAATATATTTTTATGGTTTCCTATTCTGCTTTGTAGGAGAAGCCTACATGAGACTTAGCAGATTCTCCGAAGCAGAACATTGGTATGTGGAATCACTGCATTCTAAAACTGATCACATTCCAGCTCATCTCACCTATGGGAAACTTCTTGCTTTAACGGTAAGAAAACTATCTGGAAAATAGCAGCTTTTTAGCAAGAGAAAAACAATCCTATCTGTCACATGTTTGTCACATACATACTCATCTCATTATTTCTTTGTATAAAATATTATACTAACATCAGTAAGGCTCTTTTTTCCAATTCTATTCAAGCTAGGATCTCTACCTTCAGATCACCTTTGCAAACCATTCTATCGTTGTTCACAATCCATCTATTAGGGAGATATATCAAGGATATTGACAGACTTAGAATGCATACTATTTGTCAGCATTCTTTCTTCAAATTTCTGTCCTTCCATATGTATTAGACTATTTAGGCCATATTAGGGAATTCTCACTCCTTACCTCTTTAGAGTGAGAGCCAGTGTAGCGTTGTGGTTAAGGTACGTGCAGGCATACTCAGATTGTAGTCCACCCATAGGCATGGAAACCAACTGGGTGATTTGGAACAGTCAGTCTTTCTCAGCTTTAGACAAGGAAGCCCCAAAAATCTACCAAATTGCACTGAACTGTATGTAGTCAGTAAAGAGACTTTCGTCCTTCGGTGAATTAATTCAGAATGATGATGATGAAGATGATGATGATGATGATGATGATGATGATGATGATGCAGCATCTATAATACACAAAGTTAGTGTATTATACAAATACATTATTCTAACTGGAACAGTAGACAAAACGTATGTTGAGATTATCTGGGTATTACCTGGGTAATTTGCTGGTTGGCTGAATAAATAGTATATCAGTCCAATTCTCCCTTGATTAACAGGCAACACCCCTTCTCCCCAGTAGACACATATAATTAATGAATAACCTTATTGTTTTTGGAGTACAAACTATTCATTGCCTCCTGTTCCTGATAATATCAGGAATATCAATATCAATATCTATTATGAAGAATGGTTATGGAAATGATGTTTTGCAGTAATATCCTACTTCTTATTGGTAGCGTATACTTTGCCCAGCTGAAAGACAAGAAAGCTGTGGCAATTTCTAGTTTTTCTTTATATGTGAATTAGCCTGTTTTGTTCTTTGATAGCTAAATGGTAATTTCAATGGGTTGGGTTTATTTATTTATTTTTTCTGCCCTAATGCTATATACTCTGAACAAAATGTTCCATTCCTTTTAATTCATTTAAATGTGAAAGACCTGTGTTTCATTTTGCGTATAATATATATTATGTTGCTACTTAAAAATTTTGCCTACTTCTTTTTAAAAAATGTTGTTTATCCATTTGTTGCATTTCAAAATATTATGCATTATATTTTTGTTCACTGTTTCTTACAACAATTGCAAATAATGCTACTTTGCATCACTTATCTGAAGCTTAAGGGACAAGTGCCTGTCTGCATGCGTAGAACCATGAGCTTGTCTTACACAGTAGGATCATTTTGTTAGTGTTGCTTATTTTCTTTCTTTTAGAATATAAATTTTATCTGGTTCTATATTCCATCTGCCATTTCCTTAGATTTATAAAGATTTAAGTTTGATTAAAATCTGTATATTTTAGGCTAATATGTAGAAAAAGAAGATAGAATAATGTGTTTTAAAATAGTAAATCTGATTATACTGTAGCAGAATGGTAGGTGAGACTATAATTTACACTGCATGGAGTCAGCTGCCAAAAATACTTTGTAAGCCAATATAGTGGTATAGTGGTTAAAAATACAGGACTAGAAAATGGGAGACCATGAATTCTAGTCTTTCCTTACACAGAAACCAGCTGGGTGACTTTGGGTCAGGATTCTCTCTCAGCTGCAGAAAAAAGGCAAGGGCAATTTGACCTTAAAAAAATGTTTCCAATAAAATTTCAGAAAAATTGTCCATGTAGTTACTGTCAGCATTTCAATCTGCATTTACTCTAGTGCTGACAATCCCAGGGAGAAAAAAACTGTCGAAACCTGACAGTTACCAGGAAGGAATATTGATTTGAAAACATAAAAAGGTACTGTTTAATGGCTTAACCAGGTGAATAATTAGAAAATATTGTAGACCAGTGGTTTTCAACCTGTGGTCCATGGACTCCTGGGGGTCTGCAATGTCACCACGGGAGGTCTGTGAAGCCTTAAAAAATGTTATGATTTAAATCTTGAGTCTTGGGGATCCATGGCCATGATCCGTGGCCACAAAAGGTATTTAAAGGGGGTCCGTGGTGAAGAAAAGGTTGAGAACTACTGCAGTATACAATCCTGAGCTGTTCATTTGTAGAACTGTACCCAGCAATCTCAGTGTATATGCCAGAATAATTATCAGTCCTAAATTCCTAATTTGAATCTAATATGAATGAATTGCCTACAGCTAAAAATTAGGGGCGTGGGAAATGGACCACTTTCATCACTGACAAATTCGTTATGGCATATCTGTTGTGGATTGAAAGAAACTGCAGAACGATTTGTACAATTCACAAATGTAAATAATAAATGCATCTAGAAGATGCTGCAAGACTTGGTTTTCTGACGAGACTGACACATTATTACCTATTGCCTATTTTACATCTACCCTATTACATGCCAGAGGAGTGACAAGTTTTCTATGATGGTGATTTTCTTCTTCTTTTTATACTGTTTAAGTCATGACTTCATATATTGTCAGTGTGTAATTGAAGATGACTGTTACAAATACCTGTGCTCAGACTGTATATTTGGGGATAACTATGTCTGACACTTAATGCTTCTTTGCATTTGAGCTCATTATCTTTTAAATAAAACAGAAATTGAAGCTTCCAGGGAAGTTATAATTATGGGATTAGAGAATGAATAGAAGGAAAAACTCTTTTCTTCCCTGCTTGGGAAAAAAAATATTTTTGGAAGCTGGTTTTGGATGCCTATAACTAGGGCTAACACCAATTTTAACAAAAAAAAAAAAATTAGTCACAATTATGTTAAGGACATTTAGATGCCTCTTGGGATTCTTGTGACTTTTCCATTACTTAAAAAGGTATATTTTGGTCATAACGAAACCATTGCAATAATTAGATCCATGTTGCTTTTTGTTTATTTAAAAACATTCCTTTTGAACTAATTGGTTCAATAGCTGAAACTAAGCCTTCTTTTTTTAATGCATTTTTCTATAAGGTAGCAGCATCTTCCCCCTCACTCTTCTCCCTTTCTTTGTTATCTGAACCTAATTACAATTTTCCACAGGATTAGATCCAGCTAATTACATCCTCATTATAAACTATTTCTGCTAAAGGAAAAATTTTGACGTGGGATCAGAAAAAAATATTCCCATCATTTTTTTTTCTGAGGAATATTTGAAGAAGGGTATAGTCCAGACATGCTTCAAAGAACCAAAGTTACCCAAGTATAAGATACCAATGTGATGTGATTTCCTGTTAAATACGAGTACTACTTCATTTATTTAAATGTCTCTCTCACACACACATAAACAGCCATTTAAGCACAAATACATATATCTTGATACTAACAATTTTCATATAGGATTTTAGGAGGAGACCACGAACAAAACAATATAGGTGTCATCTCCAGATTAAGAATTTTCTTAAGATACAGTATTTGGAGCAATAGCGCTCTCCCTCTCTCCCTCTCCTTCTCTCTCTCTCCCTCTCTCTCTCTCTCTCTCTCTCTCTCTCTCAACTGGATCTGAACTTGAGCAGAGTAAAAAGATGGGTAGTGTAGGTAAGAAGATGAAACGATGGATGGTACCTTCATTACTATTATTAAGATAAAATTACAAGATATATGAAAGAGGAAAATAAATGTGTAAACTAATTTGTTTTTAATCACAGGAACCTTCTCATGTTACATTAAAAGCATTTTGTGAACAGATGTCGCTATTGTTAGCGTTCTCATAAATGAAACATAATTAGTAAGACAGATACCTGAACTAGATATATTAATTTACAATCAAAAGGGGACTCTTGTACTAATGCTGAATAAATATGTGGTAATTAAGTATGCATATTTATGAAGCCCTAAAATCCCACACTGTGTAACCCTATAAAGTAACAAATTCTGACTATCATATAGGTGTTAAAATCTATTTCTGTTAATCTGTAATAAACTAGTAAAAAATATTTTCTATCTCTTAGTATTCAGAAATAACATTTAGAACTTGAAAAGCATAAAAATAACTGGTCATTCAAACAATCATCAAAAATGTGCAGTGGTATAATAATATATAATATAATATATTATATATTATTATATAATATAACTATATTTAAGTCTGTTTGACACTTTTTTAAAAGGGAACAAGATTTAACTCTGATTCTATGAAATCTATATTTCCTGTAATACACAAATGATATTGCAAAACATGCCTGTAACATGCTTACATTGTTGCTTTATTACTTTTAAACCATATAATAGTAATCATACAATAAAAAACTTTTAAAAATATTTAAAATATGATATTTTTAAATATCAAATAGCATTCAAGCTAATGAAATGACTGTTTCATGAGGTTGTGAAATAGAGTGAAGGAACAGCTATTCCAGCATTCCTTATTAAAAGTTCAAAACATTTCAAACATTCTAAATAAATCTGGATACAGATATATAAATCTACACACACACACACATATATACACATTTTTACATATACGCACATGTATGTATGCTATTTATACATACACACACATGCACACACACACTTTTTCCCCAGAAGAAGAGGGTATTTGGTGAAATTCTCAAATCTGGAATGTTAAATTCCTTTGTTTATGTTAATTATAAAAATATTAAAAAGTATGTGCATATTTGTTTTTTGTGTGTTTTGTTGTAATTTCTCTAGCAATCTGCAGTCTTCTTGGTCACCTCCATCTGTATTACATTCCAAGAGGTAAATTATTTAGGTAAAAAAATTACGTATAGCTAAGGAGATTTCAGAATGATGGATAGCCTATAGCTGCTACCACCAGCTTCTTAGAATGTGTGTATGTATACAATTTATAGGCTCAAACTACTTGGGCAGAATATATATTTTTTTAAAAAAACAGAGAAACTGATCGTGCACATTCAGAAGAGAATGTGTGCCATACCCAACACTAAAAGAAAAATCTAAAGGGGCTCAGGATCCTCCCTACACTAAGGCCTGGGAGGATTCCCAGATTTTCAGGGATTTTCAGAACTTCAATAAATGTAAACCATATGGATTCCTGGGGGAATTCTATTGCAGAAGGCAGGTACAATGAAGAGAATTTAAGTCTTCCTAAGTCTCTATATATGACATTGTTCCATCAAGGGAATTTAGACCATCCTTATTCTGACCAACCTTACCAGACAGGAAAAAATGATAACAAAAAAAACTGGCACTCTCGCAAATAACAAGGTCCTATGATATGACGGGCTTTATAAGTGATAACCAGCAACCTGAATTGTATCCAGAAGCTCACTAGTAGCCAGTACAGCTCATAGAGCTACAATATCATGTTAGCATATTTCAACATACCAGACACTTCATAAGCCACTGTATTCTGGATCAGCTGTAGCTACTAAATAGTCTTGAGGGGCAGCATTAAAACAAGTTTAGAAACACTGCCAAATTATTTTCAGCTATCTTGAAAGTGAGATAGGATTTTCCTTACCAGATGGATCACACAGGAAATACAGCCACATAATCTAATTCTATTTTATTGTAAAACTACCTAAATAGAATCCTGCAAGTCTGAAAGTACAATTCTCCCACTCTCACCTTTAGAGAACAATAACTTAGGAAGGGACTCTCCTGAACTTCTTGCTCCACTCACTATCTCTCTTATCTGACCATTTCCTAGACAGCAGCTCTTTGCCTGGTCTCCTAAAGTCACTTCCACATAAAATTACAAATAGCATCAACCCTACAAGGTGGTCCAGATTAAGAAACCAATGCCATATAGGTCAGGACCACTTCCATTATTATAGCTATAGTGAAGTCCCGCCTGAGCCAGGAAAGCCAGCTGGGTCACTCTCCCTCAGCCCAAACCACCTCACCACATTATTTGAGTTACAAATAACTCAAGGCAGTGAATATCTTCCCACAACAACAAGGGTGGCTGTTGTGGGAAGATGTTTGCTGCCTTGAGTTATTTGTAAAAAATAATGAAGGTGGGATACAAATAAATAAAATTAAAAATAGAATCTTGTAAATCTGTGCTTTTTGTTTGCTTCACTTTCGTGTAAACTAGGGAAGCGCTTGTCTTACATGTTCTCTCAAACTAGTTTCTTGCTCTTGGCTATAGCCTCGTTTTCTGATCATTGCACTGCTGGCAGCCCTTCCTCCTGTTCTTCAAAGCCATTCCTTACAGATAGAGAATAGAAGAGACTACTTTTGACTTTCTTGTCAAAATGTAAAATTAAAGCTCTTAAATGTAACAATTAGTATCCAAGCCTTTTTTCTGTCTCCTCTTCATCCCTTTTTTTTTTTCTTTGAATACTATGTTCCTTAAAATGTCATCTTAAGATCAGGGACTGTCATTTTACTTGGGCTATAAATGTTACACAAAGCTATTTGGGCTAATGATACAGATCAAAAATGTTCAAATAAATAACATACATTTTCCCTTACCTACTTTCAAAGCATAGAATGATGCATGTCAGGGGGAAAAAAAAGCACTCATTGCATCTTCAGTTCTATCACAGTAATAACCCAAAATGAAATTAGAAATATAATCTTAAACACTGTGACAAGAAACAGGAAAAGGGAAGCTTCTTTTCACTGAGAATAAAATCTTATAAGAGATTGAAAACAGTTTTAAGCAGAGTATTTTGAGAAGCCAATTATAACATTCTAGCTGAATGGAAAAATATTTGGAATTGCTATTCATTTTATGAAGATAATTCTGAAGGCTGAAGCATAATGGGCAAGGAAGAAGTCCAGTGAATTCTCTCCTTGAAATAGGAAAGAAAACTGAATGTGCAATGAGACATGATAATTAACTGTCTAAGACTAATAGTGTTCTTCTGTTTCAGACCATGACATAATAGATGTAAATGTTAATTCAGTCAGGATTAGCAATGTGTTCCAGTCTCAGACTGCAGTTTTGATGACCTGCAGATGAATGTTTTGTGACATGAAACTTGCCAGAAGAGGATGATAATTTGAATGCTCTGCTCTGATTTGTAATGTGCCCTGTTTATCCTATAATCCAAATTGTTCTTGTAGTTTTGCCAAGAGACCTAGGTTTTTTTCCCGTCTCGTTCATTGTTGTCTTCTTTCCTTTAAGCATTGTATGAATGTTTGTAATATTTTACTTCCAATGAAAATATATAAATATTGGTTGTACTCAATAAAATATTAAAACTAGACATATCATCTGTGAGAAAGCATCAATTGGCAGACAACTATGCAATGCAGAAGTTTGCTTTGGGGGAGACTGGTCCTCTCTATGTGAATCAAATCATTACTCAATTCAATATTTCTCTCCTGTCCATATGAATAGGATCTTGTTTTAAGCTTGTGCATTGATAGATAGTTATTACAATCTTCATGCACACTTATTCAATAACCATAGTTAGCTTCTAGTTTTCACCATGTGCATTTGTTGCTGAGAAATCCTATCAATAGAAAATTCTATAGATGTGATTATGTGATCTATAGAAAATATAGATTATGTGATCTATAGAAAATTCTATTGATGTGACTTCATATTAGAAATTCTGCTTGCACCATGTACATAATTGGGAGCACAGTGAGGAGAACATTCTACTAGAACCTCAGTCTTCTGATCCAACAGTAAATAAAAATAAAAATTTGAGCTTGGCTAAAGTTATATGGAAATGTTGCTTTGCTCTACACATCGCCAGAAAATGCTCACATACTAAATGCGGAAGAGTCAAACAGTTCCTGATGAGAAAGAAGATACAAACTTCTCATCTCTTTCTTTAATCTCAGGATATATAATGCTCATGGGGGGGAAAACCCACATCAATCCTATTTCTGTTGTACATTGATGTGGTGTGAAATATAGTTCTTCATCTAGTTCTATTTGGCCTTGCTCTAGTTATAAATTGTATATCAAATATAGGAACTGTTCTTGGTCCTTAAACATACTAAGTTGTCCATTTTTGTTTTTCCCTATTACACTGGCATAAAAATAAACAGCATTATGTGTAGTAATAGAAAATATATTATTTAAACAGAAGAAAACAGAGTGAGATTTATGTTCTAGTAGGATTATGCTAATTCATTAATTCTGTAAAATGAATGTTTCCGTTTCTCAGTTGTAGGTCTTTGCTCTTAAGTAGTTGTAAACTGGTGTCAGAAATCTGTTTTTGCTTTTTCTTTCTCAAGGGTCGCAAGAGAGAGGCAGAAAAATATTTCTTAAAGGCAATTCAGTTGGATCCTATGAAGGGAAACTGTTATATGCATTATGGTAAGTTTGCCAATAAATGCTTTCCTTTGGATTCTATTTTGTTGTACAAAATTCTTTATAGATGATTATAGTTTTTTGATTTTATTTTAAAGTACTGGCAGAGTATTATTTGAATAATGTACTGGGGCCTATTTGGCCAGTGGCATGGCCATCAGTTCCCAAGGAGATACCAGTTGCCATCCTTCATCAGTAACCCATAAATGATGAACACTGGTAAATGGGGACTTCTCAAAAAAAATTACTTGTGAGCAATATTAATTGTAAATTAGAAGTTCTTTAGGAAGTACATGATATTTAAGTGGATTACTTTTACTGATTAATATTTATTATGTATAGAAAAGTGTTTTGTAGGATTGTTATACTGTACTTTTCCAGTACGCTGCAGGATGAAACCTAACAGAAATCTTTTTGAAAGTATAGTGAATAGCTGTAGGATCGTGAGCTTTAAAAATATTTTCAAGCTAAAACGTATAATTTATTGGTAGTTTCAGCTTTACTCCACATGCTCTTTCTGATGATGCTGGAAGAGTCTTAATCTCAAAATGGAACTACTTTACACTAACAACATTTACAGTAAGGACATAATAGTATCAGAACTCTTCAGATAAATTAAAATAAAATCTTCAGTTTATTTCAAGTTTGAACTAAGGAATTTCAAGTTCAAAACATTTCAAATTAAAAATGTTTTGTGTACAACTATCAGGCTTCATTTATGATTGAAAGCTCTTTAAAATTAATTACCTTACAAGGACAAATGGATGTACATTTGTGGGCTTGCTCTGGCATAACTATTATGGAAGTATGCATAGAATTAGACAATTAGAATTTAGGCCACTAAATTCTAATCAGGGTGTATATGTTACTCTGTGTGAGTGTGCATGTGTATCTTTGAAACCCTAATTATGGAATGTACATATATGTTGATCTTGAATGTGTTTCTACTCTGGTATGTTTGTGTGCATTTATATGTGTGCATGCAAGGGGGACCGGATAAACTGCATTGGATCATGCAGATTTTACATTACCCAAGTAATATCATCAGTGTGAGTGAATGTGAGGTTTGCTCCCTGTTTATATACAGTAGCTTGCCCTGCCAGTTTTTTTTTTTTTTTTTTTTTGGGGGGGGGTTCTCTTCAGTAGTACCTTGATTAAACTGTTATTTGCTGCTCAGTTGGTTGTCTGGGGTTAATTCTGGTATTGATCACTGCTTATCTGAATATAGGCTACTGGAGAGGATGTATTCTGGTCTTTTTGTTTCCTTCTTAGTTTTTGTTGTTGTTGTTGTTTCTTTTGAATGGTATGTAAATGTGATTTATGTCTCTGTCTGTTGATGGCTGATTTGTCTGACTATCAGGCTTCCAGGAATTCCCTAGTGGTTTGGGATTTAGCTTGGTTTAGGATGCTTTCAGTTTCCCAGTTGAAACTATGGTTGAGTCTGTCCATGTGTTGTAAGCTTTCATAGTATCTCCTGACTGTTACTTGGTGTTCATAGACATAGTCTTCTGTCTGTCTGTCCTACATAGTGTCTGTTAAAATCCTTATACTTGTATATTGTAGATCACTTCTATTTTTTCTTCTTCTTGGATTACTGGGTCTTTTAGTTTACTTAGGATGTTTTGAAAGGCTTTCGTTGGTTTGTGTGCTACAGTAATGCTGTATGGGTGCAATAGTCTGTTGGTTATTTCTGATAGGTTTTTGACGTATGGCAGTGTTATCCTTTTTTTTTTGCTTTAATTTATATGCCGCCCTTCTGCGGAGACTCAGGGCGGCTTACAATGCATTAAGCAATAGCCTTCATACTTTTGTATATTTATACAAAGTCAGTTTATTGCCCCCACAATCTGGGTCCTCATTTTACCTATCTTTGAAAGAATGGAAGGCTGAGTCAACCTTGAGCCTAGTGAGATTTGAACTTGCAGTAATTGCAAGCAGCAGATGTTAATAACAGTGCTTTAGTCCACAGTGCTACCAAGGCTCTTTTCATAGTGAGCTATTGAGTGCTCAGGCACTTTTTGCTAAAGTTGTATGTGTATCCGTTTTGTTGGAAGATATTGTATTGTTTCCTTTTTCTATGGTTCCAAGTTGCTGCAATGCGTTTGTGCTTATCTGAATAACATTCTTACAGAGCTCCTTTTATGAGAGGTTGTTACTTTGATAAAGGAGTGCTAGTTTCCATGTTTCTGCTGATTTTATCTGATTCTGTAGCTTGATAACAGTTTTGAAACATTTCAGTAATAGTAACAGAGTTGGAAGGGACCTTGGAGGTCATCTAGTCCAACCCCCTGCTCACACAGGAGACCTGTACTAGGGATTCGAACCGCCGAACTGCTGACCTTTCTGATCGACAAGCTCAGTGTCTTAGCCACTGAGCCACCTAGTCAGGCTATTTAGCTGTAATGCTACTGTTCACTGTGTATGCCCAAATTGTTTAGTATAATTCAGTATGTTCATAGATGCTTATACAGATAGTCCTTTGTTTAGTGACTGTTTAAAGTTGCAACACTACTGAGAAAAGTGACACGACTGGGCCTCGCTCTCATGACTGTCATAGCATCCCCACAAACATGTGATCAACATTCACCTGCTAGGTAACCCACATATTTACAATGGCTGCAGTATCCTGGGCTCATGTGATCACCATTTATGACTTTTCCAGCTGGCTTCCTGTAAGCATAGTCATTGGGGAGCCCAGATTCACTTGATAACTGTGTAATTCACTTAATAACTTCAGCTGGCAAAAAGTCAAGTGCAACCCACTTAACAATTGCCTTGCTTAGCAATGGAAATTCTGTTCCCAATTGTGGTCATAAATTGAGAACTACTGGTAGATTTGATTCTTTTTAGTATACTGCAACAGTATACTAAATGACAAAAAAGTTCTGCCAAATAACACTCTTTATAATAACAACCGCTGAGACTTCGAGTTAATTTCCTTTGAATAATACATATTCCTAATAATTGCAAAGCATGTAATATTTCTGTGTTATAATAAAATTGATTATTTGCATTAAATGACTGTAATTATGCACTCACTTGATATAATTTACAACTGATCATGTAGCGTGTTGTTCTCTAGCTGAACCTGCAGAGTTTTTCTTTGTTAATGTTTTTAATTTTCTTAGTTCATTTTGGTTAACATAGCATGCAGTTAATAATTCACAATGCAAATTGTTCTCTTATTGTAAGTTTAACTGGATCAGAATGATCTTAGAGTGCTGAGAGTATTTTGGCATATTTTGTAATGCTTTGAAAAGAAACACTACAACCAAATTAAAATTAATCAGTAATTAATTGCTGCCCTCTAACTTGTCAACAAGCATAATGTTTTGTTCAGTTCTTCTAAAACTTACATTTAAGTTACAGCCACTTGAAAATTAAAGAACTGTACTGCATTTTTTCCCTTCTGTTAATAGAAGGTTCTTTGCTTCAGCAGAGGCTTCCCTGAATAGAATTCAGAATGAGGTTGTCTTTTTTACCCCAAATTTACTCTTGTTTTTACAGTGTCCTATACTGTTCCTTTTTGGAGCATATTTGACAATTGGAAAGGGGGAAGGAAGAATCAGCAAAAAAGGGTCTTTTTTCTACTTAGAGAAACTATCGTTCATAGAGTGATGTAGCCCTGTCAGCGTTAAAGTGTGAGGTATGCTGTAATTGTTAATATCTGTTTTTCAGGCCAGTTTCTATTAGAAGACTCTCGGTTGATGGAAGCAGCAGAGATGGCCAAGAAAGCAGCTGAGTTGGATAATACAGAGTTTGATGTTGTGTTCAATGCGGCTCATATGCTTAGGTCTTTTTATTTCATTGTCTTCAGTATCACCATCAATATTTTATTGCATAAAATTAAGAAGTTTAATATGCATACAGTTTTTCCAGAACGAAAACAGAAGATCACACGGCATTTCTCAGCTTCATGCTTGTATGCATTGTATACATCCTGCTTTTTAAAAGTATGGCTAGATCTGATTACTTTAATGAAGACAACTCACACTGGAATCCTGTGCCAATTTTGCCATTATTTCTTTTGCCATTTTTTATTGAGGCTGTACAGAGTCTAATGCTTACATAGCACAAAAAGTGATTACTACTACATTCCATTCACTTTATATTTAAAATCAGCAGAGTTTTTTCCCTGATAAATGAATATAGAAAACAAGTATGGGAGAGATTTGAGGACAACTCTCAATTTTAGAACAAACAATTGCTAACCACAACTTTGGGTGGTACAATGGTTCAGGTACTGAGCTAAGTTTTAGTCCTCCCTTATGCACAGAAGCCAGTTGGGAGATTTTGTACCAGTTGCTCCCCTTATGTTGTATCAGCATCAGGCTCTGCAACCCTCATCACCTCATGCATTTATTGCTTCACTGTGTTGAATTAAGTGAATGCAGTGCAAAACAAGTAGATGCTGCAACCAAGCAGAATTAATGTTAACCATCAGTAAGAAAAGGCGACCATTTTTTTTTGTGGATGATCATATCATCTCTGAATTACTTATTCAACTCAATCTCTTGAGCTCACTTTTTTAATGTGTGGAAGCTAGAAGGTAACCCAAAATAGATTGGTTTTTTTTATCTCTTCAAGATCATCAACAAACATTCCTTCCTCAGGCTCATTTTTTGTGTGTATGCTTTTCTTTTTAAAGTGAATGCAGTGCTTTCTGCATTGACTTGCTTGTCCACAGTTACCACAGACACACAGGCTAATCTATTCAGCTATATAGAATTATGGTGTCATCCAATTCAATGGCAAATTTACAGATAAATGATAATGTTCCTAAAGCAAGCATAACTGCTGGAACCATTTCTATCACTTTGCTTCATGCTACTGGTTTAGATATATTAAAATACTGTAGTTTGCTATATCTGTAATTGGGAACTATATTTTCATGTAACTTTAATGATTAGCATTATACTGGGGTTTAAGTTCCAATTTTAAAAGCTAAGACATGAATTAGAATTGTTTATAAGCTAATTTTTAAATGTTTTGTTCGTACTAATGTGGAGTTTGTAATTATATCAATTTCATTATTTAAAAAACTATTTTAAGTTAATGAATCATTCACATCATAATCAGTAGCTGAAAATGTATTTTAACTATTAATGCCAATGATTCAATTAATTTTTCACTTTCCATTACCAGATTGAAATTCACTGAACTTGCCCTTTTTTCTTCTCTCAATAGACAAGCTAGTCTCAATGAAGCAGCTGAAAAATATTACAAAATGGCAGCTGAGCTAAGACCTAATGTAAGTACTTCCTTAAAGAAAATACATTACAGCGATCTTGAGTTAGCACAGAGAGAAAACCAATACATTCTGAAGAATTATTAATTCTAATGTTTTGGTCTGTAAGCATCTTTTAAAAGCAACTCACAGCAGCACTCTAATAAACCATAACATTTGTCAAGTAATTATTGTAGATAATTATGTTGATAAAGTGATTAAATATGCATGCTTTTTTTCCTTTCATTTGTGCATTTTAAATTTGGGTTCTTGATCATATTGTGAAGTAACACCCAGGCTGACTTTACTCATTCCAAAAAGTGATGGTGAAATTGTTTCATTATCAATTGTTCTTTTCTGGAATGAGATGAGGAAAGGGGACTCCAATCTCTGTTTGATCACAAAAATAAAAGGTATGACAGATATATTTTTGGCTGTCTTCAACATGACCTGCACACCTCAAATTTACTCCAGAGGATTTCCTGAAGATTTTGGCAGTGTGCATGAGGAGAGGCATTAAGAGTCAGTTCTGCATAAAGATCTCTCCTAATGATCAAATTCATAGAAGGGTAAAAAAAGAAACAGTGCATTGTTGTCTTAAATTTTAAAACTATTTTTTTAATTTACATATTAAAAACGGTAAAAATGATAATAGACAAGGATTGTAGAATCATGAACCTATAAAGGACTTTTCCAAATAATTATATTTTCTAATATAATTCCATGCCTGTGCAGAATTCTCACATTAACCCAGACAAATGGCTGATCAAGCAGCCATGACTTCAAGAGGCAGGCTGTTCCATTGCTTAATAGCTCTCATAGTCAGAAAATTCCTTCTTATTTCAATTTCAGTCCACCCATTGAAGTTTGCCTTACCTTAAGTATTACTAGGAGTGAATACACAACTTCTTCCTTTGACAGCTCTTCAAGTATTTAAAAACTACTGTCATGTTTCTTCCAAGCCTTTGCTTCTTTAGATTAAACATACCTAGATTTTTTAAAATTCCTACATGTGAACGAAACCACTCTCCTTAGAGATTATACTTAATTCCTGATTATAGACTTCTCCAGTTGTTAAAACAGCTTAGTCATCACAATGGATAGTATATGTGAATATATTCATGTCCAATATATTATCTTAACATGGTGTTATATGATCAACCAAGATATCATATACTTTAAACATGCAAATGAGAGTAAATTTTTACTGTAAGCATTCAAATAGTTTCATTTTGCAAAAACCAGAGATTATGATTTCAAATGAAATCTGGTGTTGGAAGGAACAATATTTCTATAAAGATAGAACATTCAGGAATTGTGTTTGATGTCTGAACTTTTTTAAAAAAAACTATTATCTTGAAAGAAGGCTGCTGAAATTAATCACACATACTGTATGTTCTTAAAAAGTATAAACACTTTGAAGTATAACTCTGAAGTGTCAAATAAAAGCTGAGCAGATCATAGATTTTTCAGTCCCAACCACTGTGAGTGCCATGACCTACATCACACAATCTGACTAGTCTCATATCAGGTTTGTCAAACCTGTGACAGTTTTAAGCCCTATATCTTCATCAGCTTGTCAAATGCAGCTGTTTCTGCTCTACTCATTCAAAAAGATTTGATTAACTATTATGTGTACATTAGCATAATAACACATGCATGTATGCAAACACCCATAATAAAAGGTCTGGATAGGCCTTTAGGCAAAACAAGTGCAGTTCCATGCCATGACTTTATGAGCGATGGGAAGTATTTATAGATTGTGGTTCTGCGTATGTAAATGGCTTCTATATCTTTAATCCAAAATATTTAGTTCGAAAGTCTACCAAATAAAGCAAACTGCTGGTAAAAACAAAACTTTTCTGCCATACATGGTATTTAGCTCAACAAGGAAACTTTCCTTATGCTATGCCCCAAGTTTCTGGAACATATTACCAAGAAACTATATTATTTTAATGACTATTTAATTAGAAACACATTCTGGTTCTTCTAATAACAATCATGTGTTATTTTTATGAATTATAGCATCATGTAGTTTATTACCAACCTAAGTAATTAAAATCCTGTTGTGCTTCTTTCTAAGTAAGAATACTTTATTCTTTGCTATGGTATATGATGATGCAATGAAATAATGTAACTATGCAGAACTTGCTTAAACAATTTGGATTCCATTTGCACCAAAATTAAAATTAGGATCAGGAGAATCAAGGTTTAGATCCAACCCCCTCATTAAGATCATGTATAGCCATGAGTTAATTATTATGCTCAAAGAAAAAACAAGCTATTTATTCTGAATCTTGGTTTGATATGTGATTATTAATAAATAAGCTTCTTCTCATGTCTGTATTAACTCTTGATTGGTACTTGGGGAAACTCAGGTTCAAATGCACTGGCAGCTGTGAAAATTGTCAAGCCAATCAGTCTCTTTCTGTCCAACCTATTTCTTCCTAAAGAAAAGGAAGAATTTAAATCTAAGATTCTTTTTTAAAACTTCCCTTGTTTTGAGGCTTTCATTAGCTCCATCCAACTACAATACTGTCTTTCCCTTCAGGTTATTATTTCTTCACATTCCCGTTTTGTTATTCACACCTCAATCATTCTTTTATTAATGACTGAGTTATTAGTTATTAATTTTTGCATTAAACACCATTCATTCTTGTTATAGCACACACACTTCTTAAATAATGCATAACCAACACATTTAACTTTAATGTTTTTCTGGCATATGCATCTCTCATTTCCATGTAACAAATTAGCATTTCAGCATGTTACGTTTCTCCATCCATTTCCCATATTTAAGACACAGTCTGCTAAGATGCACAAATTAATCTACTTGTTTTAATTTTTTGCTGCTTAGGTATACTGGCAATTTTTCACTCCATTTTCCCTGTCACATACACTTGGTCTTTGATATATTAATTTATAGGTCCATATTCCTTGTTGCCTCATAGACTTTATTTACGCTTTATTGCAAATCATTCAGATCCTCAATCAACAATATGGCCTTATTGGCATACTCGTTAATTTATTTTGATCATTATCTATTCCTGTAGTATTCCAATAAGAATTCATCCAAGATTTTTCCATGCACATTGAAAAAAACCCACATACACCTCCTAGAATTTTTGCATTATGTCATATTTTCTTTTTATAAGGGAGCATTAATAGTATTCTTCTAAATATCAAGCATAGGTGCAATCTTCATACGCACATTAAATTGTATCACATCCCATAAACTACAAACTATACCTTTATTTTAATATTGCTCCATTTGCCCCATCTATACTGGCAGCCCTGGTTTATTTTAGAGATTTTTTTATCCTGCCTCTATTAATTTTTTAAAAAGGTGGTGAACATGCATAATGTTCCTTACTCCTCTATTGTCCCATAACAACAACCCAGCCAGCTTTGATTCCTAAAGTGTGACTAGAACTCAGTGTCTCCTGGTTTCTAGACCAGCGCCTAAACTATTACACTAAAACGGATCTCAATATTTTGCAACATTCAAATAGGCTCTCGGTGTTTTGCAACATTCTCATAGCATGTAATATTTCCGTTCATCATTCCTTCCATCATGATTCTATATGTTCTCTTTACATTCATTCTGTTGTGAGAGTAATCCTTGTTTCAAGAACTGAACCTTCTCTTTATAATTCTATTTTCACTCTAGTTTCTTACCTTTTTTATTTTTTTCTGTATCCATTTTTGCACCCGCATATATTCAAATCTTTCATTACCTTGTATCTTTCACTAATTACCTGAGTCTTTCATAATTAAATAAGTCATGCTTATAGGTTCATTCAGGTGCCATGTATACTGTACATATGAGTAGATTTGAAACAGCCACTTTAGTAAGTACTTCTCAATGTATTATTTTCATTAATTCTTTACTCTCAGAATGGATTGATGGAATGGAATGTGTGGAATGGAATATGTGGATGACCTTGGGGAATGAGGAGAAGAGATGCTGCCTAGGAAACAATGAGACAAGAGACACAGGAACCCCCAGTGGCTTAATGGTCAGAGAAAGAAATTAAGGAAAGAGCTGTTCTAATGGCTCAAGCAGTTAAAAGTGGTGGTGGGAAGTTGGTGCCTTCAGATTTGCAAGATTCTCTTAATGTAGCAGTACAATAAAGTAGAATTAGATCATTTAGTCCTGTTTTTGCCTGGTTTACCTGGGAAAGCTGGCACCCAGTGATTTTTTCTCTTTCTTTCCCACCATTTATGACATCCAACAGAATCTCTTTTCCTCTTGTTAGCTGATTATAATCATTCAATATGTTTCATGATTTCCCTAAGGTCTCTGTACCATTCATATTCATGTTAATTGGAGCACAATATGCAGCTGTCACCAATAGTTTTCTACATTGACATGCGGAAACAAAAATCTAGATGATACAAATTCCTATATTTTTGCGTTTTCATTCATTGTCAAACTTACTTTTTCATTTTTTCTGTAGGTATTTAACTCCATAAAGTCAGACTATTTTCATTCTGGTCAATTACTTTCCCCTCCCCCTTTCCCTTATTTTTATATACAATCAACATATTTATTTTGGTTCTAATACTTTTGTTTATTAACTCAAGGCCTACCGTTTATTTCACTTACATTCCACATTTACTCTTCAATATGCCAAGTGTTCTGACCTGGGTCATGCTGGCAGGTGCAGGTACCAGTAAAGTCTGTTTTTTGCACAGAAGACAGCCCTCCAACAGTGCCAGTAAAGCTCCACTCCAATTTTCTCCAAAGCAGCCACCCACAGTTCATGCAACCTAGTCCCACAAAATAGGTCCAATAGTCACCAGAATCAATCCTCAAGGCAAAGAGGAAGTGTGACATCCACAAACAAGATCAGCGTTCGCAAAGCAAGGTTCATAGTCCACAAATAAGGTTGAGAGTCCATAAAGCAAGGTCCAAAATCTACAAGGCTGAAACTCGAATCTGAAGTCCACAAAATAGAGTTTATGAGGGCCAGGAAAGTGCATGCTGAACCAAACAGTTGTTCCCAACAAGCATACGTTCC